GTGTAAAACGGGTTTAGTCCCGCCACCACTTCAAAAACAAATCAAAACATGCTTTTAAAACAGTACGGGCATTACCATAAATTTACTTACCTCACTTGCATAAAACCGAGCACTCAAGTCACGTACTAACTGACAGAACGATCGGGAACCTAATCAAAATATCCACAATTAATATCGGACTATCACACATTCACACTGAAATCATCATTAGGATCACTCCTAATCACGATACTAATTCCTATCAATCTCCACATAATCAAATATCTCCAAATTCGTTCTTATTTCACAAACTAATCACTTAAATTCCCGTTAAATGTTGGCTCTCGGGGTGTGAACAGTATCCATGAACAGTACCATGAACAGTACCATGAACAGTACCACGACGTGAACAGTAACCCCGACTTTCACAAATTGGCCAAAACACTAGCTAATTCCACAGGATTTTCTCCAAAAATCACACAACAATCTAAATCAAGCTAATTTACACTTAAACCAAGCTTAAAACATGCTCAAAGGCTACCAGAATTTCCCCTATTTTTCCAACACAATTTGGACATACAAGGCAGCAAACTAAATGGACAATTTAAGCCTTAAAAGGCTGTCACATACCATAATTCTCTAGCTATAATCGGAGTTGCAGGGAGGAAGAGGCTGGCGGCAAGCTGCAGGGAAAGCTCACGGGTTTACCCAAAATTGAAGGAAATAAGAGCAATCAAAGTTAACCCAAGCCAATTCAAGCAAGAACAAAGGAATTATGGACTGTTCTTACCGAAAAAAATGCCCAGAAATCACCCACAATCAAGAGCAGCCGGCGGAAGGACAAAGCAGAGCAGGGCAGATCCGGCTTTTCCAGCAGGGGGGAAGATTTCTGGGTTCTAGGTGTGTTCTAGAGCAAGGAAGGAAGGAGAAAACCAAGCTTATCTCACCGGTTTCTCAAAGGCATGGCTGGGTTCCCCTTTTTTTTTCTTCGGGCGGCTGCAACGGGAAGACAGAGTAGAACACTCGGGGAAGAAGAAGAAAAGAAAGAAAGAAAAAGGAGAAAAGAAAAGAAGTCATCCTTATCCAAAATATTTCCCTCTTTAAGTCCCTCAACTTTCAAAATATTCACATTAAGCCCCAAAACAATCTTTTCTCACAATCAAGTCCCTAACTTATACTTAAATATTCTCGAAAATTTGGGATATTACAACACTTTTGACATCTTAAAGACTAGTGAAAATTTTGATC